GAAGATGCCAACATTGGCAAAGGCTAATAGTAGGCCCTATATGATCATCCATATATTGCAACTTCTAAGTAACATTTCTGGTCAGTTTTAAAATGTGATTTACTGATATGTCTGAGCTACCATAGAGCTTGTACTACTACAGATTTCATTCTGATTGATTAAAAGGCACTTCTTGTTTTTTAGACACATTCAATGTTGCTATAATGTAGTTGTTTACAAAAGTGTTTAGAGCTTGCAGGGTCTCTGTGCACTTGAAAAAGAAGTTAAACCCATTTTCTATCCAAGTTGCTCTTCAGTTGACAAATCTCCCAATGAAGATTGAGTGTTTCTATTATCAAAGCAGAAGAACTGTAGATTAAACCCGTCATTTATCCCTGTCATAAAATGCAATCACTGTTCATTCTCTGCACTGCCTAGCACAATTGCTTCACTTGGTGTTTGCTCAGGGCAGTGGGCAGTGGGGGTGGAAATAACAATAGTAAAGAGATATTTAAAGGGGGTTGTTGTTCTTTAACATCCCTCCCCCAAAGGATTTTTGTGGGAAGAATGAAAAGTGCCTTAGATATGTAAATTTATTTTCGTTCAACATTGGACTCAAAAAAGAAATACAAAGTGAACAATTGTAAGAGAGGAGCACTGTTAACAGTATTTAAATTAAATATTGATGTATTTTAAAATTCAATAAAAAATTCTAAGGAAAGTTACCTAGAAGTCATGGTTCTTAGGTTAATCTTGTTTTTTTAATCTAAAGAATGATGGAAGCTGTCTGGCTCTGTGATATGAACTACAATCAGCTTAAAAATAATTGACAAATTAATCCCTTCACAGCACTGCAGTTGTAGAGATGTTAAATTTAATTAGGCCTTATTGATTGCTTTGTATGATCAAGGATTAAAGGTAATATCTCTGGTTAAGGTCTAGCATGGATATTTCTGACCTTCTAAGCTGTACATTTTAATTATTGATTGTGACCATTGCAGTTATTACCAAGGGAGGACCTTAATTCTTTCTCAGTAAGAAATGTGTTGGGGAGGGGCAAAATTGCCCTCCCTTCCCATGAGAAAATAGGTTTTTCATTGACAGCTAAAAATATATGATTGGCCACCCATATATTCAGATTCATAATTAGCCTTTGCTTGAATGTTGTAAGAGTACAGCCTGTCTAGACAGTATTACAATCACTCTGAAGGATCAGATTCAGAGTTTAGAGATGCTTTTCTGCCCAAGTGGCTGCTATATTATCCATTTTCAAGTTGTAGTGCCCCTTTCTGGAGAAGTTAGTTATGACTACAGCATATCAAAGTGCCTATATATGTTATTGCAATGAGTTTTACCTGAAGTTACAGTTAAAGAATGTTCAGAAATGCCAACATATCTAAGATGTAGTGGACAAGTTTCTTTTTAATATGTGTATGATTATACTACATTAACCTTCCTCCAATTGCATTGACTTCAGTGGGGGAGCGCAATTCAGGGTTCTGGTTTTTCTGCTCCCATATGAGTGCCTTCATTCTTGTGAACCTACTGTCACCTGGCCATCCATAGCAAGTTTCAACATCAAGAAAGACTAAGAGATCTATCTATCTATCTATCTATCTATCTATCTATCTATCTATCTATCTATCAATCATATTTATATCACCGTCTATCTCACACAATGTGACTCTAGGCAGCATACAAACAACTATAAAATGATTTTTAAAACATTCAAAAGTACAAAAAATTAATATTATAAAAGGCTAAGAGAGAGCATCAGATTATAAACAATAATGCCATCTAATCAAATTACCATTCCCTTGTGATCCCCAGGCCTGTTGACACAACCAAGTTTTAAGGAATTTCCAGAAGGTCAGGAGAAATGAGGCCAATCTCATCTCAGGGTGGATGATGTTCCACAGGGTGGGTGCCACAGCAGAAAAGGCTTATCTCCTGGGTCCCATCAGATGTTACTCCTTTACAGATGGGACCCACAACATACCTCTTCTGCCAGACCTGATGGGATGGGCAGATGTAATCAAGAAGAGGTGGTTGTTCAAATAACCCGGCCCCATGCCATGAAGGGCTTTAAAGGTCAAAACAAGCACCTGGAAGCAGACTGGTAACCAATGCAGTTCACGAAGCAAAGGTGTAATGTGTGCCACTCTAGGAGCAACACATAACTTCCCATGCAGTCACATTCTTCACCAGCTGAAGCTTCTGGATATTCTTCAAGGGCAACCCCATGTAGAGAGCATTACAGTAGTCCATCAGGGAGATGACCAGAACATGAGTGACCGTGAGTAGAGCCTCCTGATCCAGGAACAGGCACAACTGGTGCTCAACCGGACGCTGTGCAAAGGCCCTCCTAGCTACAACTGCCACCTGCTCTTTGAGCAGGAATTGTGAGTCCAAGAGGACCCCCAAGTTGCAAAGACAAAGGATCTTTTTGGGGCAGTGCAACCCCATCCAGTACCAAAGATGGCATAGTCCCAGAATCAGCAGGCCCCAAAACCCAGAGTCACTCAGTCTTGCCAGGGTTCAGCTAAATCTTGTTATTCCCCATCCAGACACACACTGCCTCAAGGCACGGGGATAAGACATCGACAACATTGCTTAATTTGCCAGGGGCAGAGGTGTATAATTGGGTATCATCAGTGTACTGATATAATTGGGTATCATCAGTGTACTGATATAATTGGCCCATCGTGACAGGTGACCTCACCCAGTGGCTTCATATAGATATTGAAAAGGAGAAAACACCAAACCCTGCAGAACCCCACACAGTAGGGGCTGAGGGCGAGATCTTTCCTTCCCAATCACCAACAACTGGTATCGACCCCAGAAAAAGGAGGAGAACCAGCACAATACTGTGCCACCCACCCCCAGTTCCTGGACCAGATCCAGAAGGATACCAGGGGCGATGGTATCGAAGGCCACTGAGAGGTGAAGCAGAGCTAGGATGGATGCACAATCACCATCCCACTCCCACCAAAGATGATCTAAAAGCACAACCAATGCCATTTCAATCCCATACCCAGGCCTGAATCCTGACTGAAAGGGTCCAGATAATCCGCTTCCTCTAGGAACCTCTGAAGTTGTTGCACGACCACCTTCACCACCACCTTTGCTAAAAAGGGAAGCTTAGATCCTGGATGAAAATTGTCCAGTATAGTGGGGTCCAGCAGAGGTTTCTTGTGAAGGGGGTGAACCAAGGTCTCCTTAAGAGGCAAAGAAACAACCCACTCATCCAAGGAAGAATTCACCACCGCTGGAATCCACTCACACAATACCCCATTGGGCAGCTTTAATTAGCCAGGAGGGTCATGGATTTAAAGAGCAGGTGCCTGAGCTCACAGTCATGAAGACCCTGTCTACTTCCTCAGGCCCAACAGGTTCAAACTGTTCTGAGATAAACAGGGCAAGACTCTGTCCCAGGCATCTCTCTAGGACCTGCAACAAGGCCGGCATCCAACTGCGAACATATTTCAGCAATTTTATCTGACAAATACTGAGTAAATGCTTCTGCATGACCCTGCAAGGGGGTCTCTGAGCCTTCTATACAAGAGGGCATCGGTCACCCGAAACAGGGCTACGGGATGGCTATCTGCAGGTGCAATAAGGGCAGAGAAGTATTGTCATTTTGCTGCCCTTACCACTATGAGGTAGGCTTTAAAGCAACTCTCACCCATGTTTGGTCAAATTCATCATTCGTTGAACACCAGTGGTGCTCTAGATGTCTCTTCTTCCATTTCATCTTCCTCAACTCTTCCGTGTACCACAGGGAGTGATGGGATCCACAAGAGCGGAGAGGTCACATAGGCAATTCGATCCAAAGCCTCATCAGCCCCCTTATTTCAAGCAGCAACCAAGGCCTCAGATTATGTAGCAGACCAGCAGGGATAACCCCCAGCTCCCTCTGAAATCCCTCAGGGTCCATCAGTCACCAAGGGTGGACTGATCTAATAGGTTCTGCCTCCCTGTGGTGGATAGTAGCGCCAAAGAACCCTATGGTAATCACAGCATGATCTGACCATGACAAAGGGGACATCAGGAGTTCCCTCAATTCCAGATCTCATTGCCATTGCTCAGACAGGAAAACCAGATCAGGTGTGTGACCACTGTCCCATGTCGGGCTCTGGATGACCTGGGATAGGCTTATGGCTGTCATGGTAGCCATGAACTCCTGAGCTGCAGATTGAAGTCCCCCAGAACTTTAAGTCTGGGGGACTCCACCACCAGGCCAACATTGGAGTCCAGCAGCTCAGGGAGAGGAGATTGTTATGCAGTAGGGAGGCTGGTACAGCAGCAACAATCCCAACTGATCCCTAGAACTCAACTTAATGAACAGGGTCTCACATCCAGCAACCTGTGAAACACCCCTGAAAGCCTTAAGAGACTCCCAGTTGACAATCGTCACACCTCCACCCCTGCCCTGGAGTCTTGGCTGATGCCACACCCGAAAGCTGGCTGGGCACATTTTGGAAAGGGCCACCCCCACCTTCTGGACCCAGCCAGGTCTCGGTAATACATGCCAGGTTGGCCCTCTCATTTGTGATTAAATCACAGATGACGGAGGCCTTATTACAGACTGACCTGGCATTTAGTAGCAGCAGCCAAAAGCCAGGGCCTCTGAAGGTCTGCTGACCAGGCACAGGGGTTGAGATCAGGAAGCTGGAGCACAAAACTGATATAAGGCACTGGGCCCAGATTCCCTGAGAACAGCCTACTCCAGTCTCCCATCATACCTACCCATGCCAATCACCGCTGTACTTTTTCATACATTGGAGCTTCTTTGCTTGGGATGTTAGACTTGTTTTACCTTTGTTTAGTTTTAGGCAAGTTATTAATTCTTTGAAGGATATTGTTCCAAAAGATTTTTCTGATCATTTTAAATATAAATATATTCTGTATTTGAAAGATAGCTATTCTCTTGTTCAGTATGTCATGTTTTAAAGTGACATAAAGGGCAATGTGTGGTATTAGTGGTAACTAATATATAAAATTATTTCTTTTACATGTAGGTGAATGAAGTGACTGTGGAACAACTGGTACAGCAGCACCCACATGTCACCTTCAGTACAGTGCTACAAGATTGCAAGCGGACCTTGGAACGGGCATACCAGATGGGTTGGACACCCAGTATGTCCAGTGCCTCTTAACTCATGCTATGACATTAAAAAAAAAAGATTTAGACTGAACAATTGAAAATGGTTAAGGATTTTTAATTAATATTTCTTGCTTTTTATTAAATATATGTTCAGTGTATGTGTATGCGAGAGAGAAAGAGAGGCTGTAGGGAGAGAGAAAGAATGAGTGTGTGGAAAATGTCCATTCTGTTAATGGAAATATTTGAAGAAGAAATATGGTCAGATATATTTAATTTTTCGGAAATGTTTATTTGTCAATTTAAAATTTGCAAATCGGTAAGATTTTGCAGAGAGTTTGCTCTTTCCTTGTAAATTGAATGTTTACATAAACTAGAATACTGTTTGGATGTTTTTTCAAGGTATATGTTCATGATAGAAACAACTCTTTAGAGATGCATTATAAAAAATTTTTGTTCATTGTTTAAAAGCTTTTGGCTAACTTCTGAAGTGGGTTTCTTCTAGCTCTAAGGATATTTTCAGCAATGTAATATGTTGTTATGCTTTTTTTTGTTTCATGGTATTTCTTTATTATTAGCAGTCCATACTTCTTTTGAAATTGTAACTGTGGCAACTCCTTTCCTGAACTCCCCTTAAATTAGAAGTAATTTAAAGGTAATCTTAAATCAGATTATCAAAATTGTTGCTAACCTTTTGTGTGTTTTTGAAATGCACAATTATGAAAATCTACAAAGGTACAAAATATAACATTTTGATGACAAAGTTTATTTTGAATGGAATCTTTAATAAATGCTGGACATAAGCATAATGGATATTTAAGCAGACTATCTGGCTGGTCTCTATTAGTTCTGTCAAAATATGATTTTCTTAGTTGCTTGTGAATGTATTATACTTAAGTAGATATTCCTTGATTACATTTCCACATCTTTACATTTTCAGTTTTGTAGTCTGTAATCTAATCATTTTAATTTTCAGCACTTTTCATTAATTAGATCCATGAAAAGTAGTGTACCTAAGAAATCATTATTTCTCAGTGTGTAAAGAAGCCTCAAACTTGCATTTCTTATATGCTTCTACAGCATCTCAAGGGAGAAAAGGAGAAACATCTGCTTCCACTTATAATAAACCATGACTTCCTGTTATATCTGAATCTGCAGGAATTGTAGTTAATTGAAAGTATGGTTAATTCAGACAAATCAGAATCAAACTATAGTATCTGTTTCTGGCCTTTTTCTTTAAATAGAGTTTAAACAAAGATGTTTGGAGATATATTTCTCCAAAAATGTTGTAGCTTATTTCAGACTGGAAATGAATTGCTTTGCTCTCTTTCTGATGCCCAACTGCTCTGTGACGTTTATCTGAAGTTCATCATGCACTTTAGCTCATGCATGAGGAACATTTTTATAAAGCATCGTCTCATCCATGCCAATGTAATAAGTTTTTCAGAATCCATGGAAGCTGCAGTAGGAAGTATCCATAATTCTTTGGATTTGAGTGAAAATGTTTGCATGTGTATGATGTGTTAACAACTTATCAAAACAAATTAGGCCATGCTCATAAATTTCTCTCTGCTGTCATTCACTCAGATTTACAACTATAGTGAGAAGTCATAATGAGATATGTACTTAATAATCTCAGCTGGAATCTCAAGAACTTTAAAAATGGCTGCTCACTCACAGCATATAAAGCCACTTGCTCATCATAATCTTTGTATGATGCATTCATGCTCACCACAAAGCACCCTACTGATGTAAATCATCCCTTAGCAAGAAGTTATATTATCCTGCCATGTTATATAATCCTAGGAATAAATTTTATGGAACTCAACTTGCCCAGGTTTGTATAGAATGACATTGTTATTCTTCCTTCAACATAGAATATCAAATGTTGCATTAAAGCAAAAAGATTTAACACTAAATCTAAAGTAACACTAAACCAATTAAAGACTTGGTACTGACTGTTGTAAAACCTTTTTTGATGAGAAACTTTTACCTAGAATCAGAGTTTTATTTTACTGAGGGACATTTGCTAAGGAGACAAATGCTTCCCTATAGTTTATAATTATCCTGTATCATTTTCATATTTATATCCCATCTGATAATATTGACATTCATTTATTATTATGTGAATTGTTCTGACTCCCAAAATTGATAAATTGAATATATGCAGAAAATCACTAGAATATACACATGAGAAGGTTAATTTTATGTATACTAGACTGTATTATGAAGGGTTACGTTTCAGGATAGCTGACAAAGACACACTGAAAACCGAGCAGTAGGTAACCTTTAGAATGTAACAACTTAATAAAGGATTCTTTTACATGTAACACTGCATTTGTTTTTTAAAGGTTAATGTGTTTTAATCCATAATTTCAAATGTTCAGGGTGGACCTGAAAGTTACCATTTTTCTCAAAATGGCTGGCTAAACCGGAAGACTTCAGGCAACATAATTTGGAAAATAACATTCATATATTTGTATAAATTTCATGCCCATTCTTTCCACATCAGTTCCTGATAGTGAGAGAAAGAGTGTTATGTCATTTCCTTGAATACGTTTTTTAAAATAAATTTTTATTGCTTTTTAATTAAAAACAAAAAAAACAAAACAAAAATAATACGCTATCAAGAAGAAGAAAAAACATTTAAAATGCTATTATAGAAAAGTGACAAAAATACAACAAAAGAAACCTTTTTTAAATTTTTCAAATTGAGACTAAAGGGTTTGAAAAAGAAATTAAGACTTGTACAATAGATTTTGCTTGGCATGTTAAAAATATGTGCAAATGCATGTAACTACAGGGCTTTTATACCCACTTAATAGTGTCAGTACTTTCACAAAAAAGAGATATTAATGTCCACAATAATAAGCACTCTTTTTATGTCTAATTTTTGACCACTCATATACAGCAAAAGAGGAAATTACAAAAATATAATCTTTCTTTTGGCTATCTAGAGAACTCTGCCACAGTTAAAAATGAGCATTGGAGACTTAAAACCAAAACAAAAATGCCCCCTATCAATTAATAAAATAAGACACAACAAAATGCCTTTGTCACAAGCAGAGAGCAATACGCTTCAGCCTAGGCCTAAGTCAAAGTTTAGTTCTGTGCTGGTCTATGACCATAATAAAAATTTGATTTGATTTGATTTGATTTGATAGTTTAATTCATGCTCAATTCCCCTTTTAGATCCCCTTCCATTAGAGAAAGATGTTATATTTAGAGAAGCACTATTTAGAAGAATTTCCTATATTTAACATGGTCACCTGATTTAGTGTTAAATAAGCCATGGTTTAGTGTTACATAACAGAACTGTTGCATATTCTGATTCCTATTTTCACGTGATGTTATCCCAAGGATAACTTGAGCATCTGAGTCTAACTTCTTTTACCAATAGTTCTTAGTATATCAAACTATGGAAATTATGTTACGTTGTATTAACAAGCTGGGATTGTTTTATATATTTACAGGCAGTCCTTGGATTACGACAGCAATTGGGACTGAATTTCTGTCAATAAGTGATGTAGTTGTAAAGCACAACGTCATGTGACCGCATCATTTAGCGACAGCAATCCCAGCAGTCCCCGTTGCCATTAAATAAGGACCGCATGGATCATTAAGTGAGGACCGGTGGGAAGAGGCGGGTTGCAGGCAATGGGGTATGGGTGAGCAGGTACCATGGGTGGGCACTACAGAGTACAGGCAGGCAGGTGCTATGGCAGACAGGCAGATGGGTGCTGCAGATGGATGCTACAAAGGATGGGCAGGCAGGTGCTATGGGTGGGTGCTATGGAGTGCAGGCAGGTGGGTGCTCTGGGTGGGTGCTGCAGGTGGGCATTACAGAGTACAGGTGGGCAGCTGAAAAAGTGGCTCCAGCAACTTGCAACTTCCTGTCGGCTTCCCCATTGGCTTTGCTTGTGGGAAGCTGGCAGGGAAGGTCGCAAATGGTGATCATGTGACCATGGGACGCTGCAGCTGTCGTAATTGCATAGTTAAATTTTTATTAAAGATTATAATTACAATAGTAAGAACTAATACAAACTAAAAGAAAGAAAAATAGAATAAAAAGTGCAAAAGGAAAAAATAGGAAAGGCATAAAGAATAGAAATAAAAAAAAGAAAAGAATATAGTAAAGAAAAAGGAAGATATATAAAGAAGTGTTTCTTAACCTTCATCACAAGTATAAACACTTTTAGTAACTTTTCACCTTCTCTTAAATTACAACAAATGATTTCTTCTTCCCATATCCCATCCCTTATCTATAAACAAATCCATGAAGTATTGTCATTTCAGTCCTGGTGTCAGCAAAAGTCCATTAAGAGTTACCGGAAATAACAACGTACCTATTTTAACCTTGATCAAATAAACCAACTTTATATTCCTTCCTTTTCTAACAATCTTAATCTTTAGTCCATTCAAATAATGTTGTAGAACTTGGTTTCTTTTCATTTCTTCTTTGTCCCTTCTCACTGGATTCTTCAAACCTTTAAAAAATCTCTTTTGTAAGTCCAATATAGGAAGGTTATCCAGGTCACTCTCTTGGTTTATTGTTTAATTTTTAAAACAACAGCCAGTTTCTTTTGTATGTCCAGTGTAAAATCTTTTTCCATGTCATTCTTGTAGACTCTAATTTGTAAATCCACTTTCAATTCAGTCTCTGTCTTGTCAGGTAAAACTGGTCCCTGTTCCATAACATTTTTTAGACAGAGTCTATCCATAGAGGCAGATGTCGCTGTTGACATTGTTAATATTAATTTCTGCCTCCATTTTTCAAAAGTATCCTTCTGTATTAGAATATTTTGTGCCATTCTGTAACTGTTAGTCAAGTTTATGTGTTCTTCTCCTTTAATTGAAATATTTAGTTCCTTCTAGTGTCCAATTTTTAAAATCTTATTATGTTTTTTTTTTAAAAAATTCAAAACAAAAGCATTTTCCCACAGGAAGGATTCTTTATACTTAATTCCAAAATCTTATTTCAAATTTATCTGGACCCTTAGTCTTTTGTAGCTTTCTAAATCAAAGTTTTAATCAACCTTTCTCTTTTTATTTAAAAAAAAAAGTTCTTAAGCTTGTAGTTAAAATTTTCTTTCATTACGGATTGAAGGCAGACTCACCTGGTGTTTTCAGACTTGTCAATCTAAAGGTTTTTGATAGCTGAAAAATAGTTAATAAGCAGTTTCCGAATGTGATTAGAAAAGGAAGTATGCAACCTTAGTGTCCTTTCAAAGGCACTGACCACAGTTTGAGCAAGATGACTATTCTCTCGTCTCCCAGTGCTCAGAACCCACCAGAGACCGCTGTCTTGCAGTCTCCTCGTGAGGAGCAACTGTCTGGAGCACTTCTGGGAAATCTCTGGTCTTCTCCTTTGTCCAGAAAGGTTTGAGGATCTAGTCTACTTGCTGGCTCTTCATTCTTCGCCATGGTTATTGGCTCCACTTTTTGTGGAGCCATCTTCAGTCCACCACTCTTCCTCTGGAAGTCACAACTGTCATAATTGTGAGCTGGTTGCCAGGCGCCTGAATTGCGATCACATGACTGGGGAGGATGCCGCAACAGCTGCAGCTTCGAGGACTGGTCGTAACTTCTCCTTGTTCAGCGCCATTGTAACTTTGAATAGTTGCTGAACGAGTGGTTGTAACCCAAGAACTACCTGTATTTTATTCAATTTGCCTGCTGTCAAGTCTAATCAAGTTGATGGAGGCTTAACAGAACAATTAAAACATCAACAGTCTAACATAACAATATGAAACAATAAAACATCCGCTGTAAATAATATAACACTAATAACATTCACAATAATCAAAAACAGTAATTGTCCACAGTAATATTCTCATACAATAATTTAAATTATTAACTCAAAACAATCCCTTAATAAAATTACTCACAGCAGCAATCTCACAATTACATGCAAGATGATACTTCACCACTAAAAGCCCTATAGAAAAGTTGGATCTTCACTGCTTTCCAGGAGGCCACCACTGTATTCAAAGAAAGGCTGTTCCACAGTGTCAGTGTCATAACAGAAAACATTGCTTCCTGGCTTCAGTCCCACATCAAAAGGTTATCCCATGATGAATGTACTAGACAGATTGGTTCTGTGGGAGAAATCCTGAAGATACCTTGGTGTCAAACCATATAGGACTTTATATATCCAAACCTGCACTTTCAGTTGCATTCAGAAGCCTAGTGGCAGCAAGTGCACAGCCTTGACCACAGGTATAATGTGTTTGTAGCAATTAACACCTCCCAACAAGCAGGGCATAGCATTTTGTACTAATTGTTTCTTTGGCTGGCCTTCAAAGGCAGCCCCATGCAAAACACATTCCAGTCTAAATGTATGGTGATGAGGGCATGTGCTTTCATTTTAGCCCAAGACTACCTTATTCTTAAAAGCGGTGGTCAAGGATTTCAAGTCAATATATTTATTGCTTTTTAAACAGACCTTCTGCATGTCAAGCATATGCACTGTCACTAAGCTGTGGTCCTATTCCCACTAAACTATATATAGCCTGTATTCCAAGTGCATGCTGCATAACTTTTTGAGTTTTATCATTTATTCCTTTTAATATATCATTCTACTAGTTCCCTCTGCTTTTCCACCTTGTACTTGTTTTATCCTCTTGTATATTCTGCTTTCTTTTAAATGAGCAGTTATCTCCAGTATCTAGTTTCTTCAGTCTAATTTAGCAGTCTTGCCTCCTATAAAGTGAGGGAAAGTTTAGGTTCATAAAGTAATAAAGGTAGGAAGATGGTGACAGTATTAAGTATACTTAATTCAGTATGCTCCCATCCACCCAATATACATACACAACTTTTATTACTGATTGCCAGGATTTCAGATTTCCACATCTCTTGTGGTATTTCTGCCCTTATAATAGAATAATCCCATTATTAAGAGCTTTTACTTAATAGCATATTCACTGGTTTTACAAATATACATTAGATAGTTTCATGGATTCAGCAAAATGACCTAGAAAATCTCAAAATACCTAATGCGCATTATGGGCATCCATTCTTTAAGAAAACATCTCAACTTCCCGAAGTCTTCATTGACCATTTCGAAAAATGTATGCTTTTGTAGCACTTCTTAAAGACATGTCTAATCTGAGAATTCTCTTAAGTAAATTCTTTTGCTGTGCAATCTATTTTAGTTTTTTTTTTTTTAAAGAGC